AGGGACAATGTGGAATTAACATAACACATTAGGTGATGAAGACGGGCGTCATCATCCTTTGTCCATTTGGTCACATTACGTGCCAATGCATTGATGGATCTCAAAAGGTCAAACCGCGCAATGCGGGCTGCATACAGCAGCTTCATAAGCACACTAGCTGCATGCGGAGCTAGATTCCCTCGGCTCAGTGTCTCACTGTCTTGGCCAGGACGTGAGTTGCCAGTCTCGGAGAGAGCAGGCATATCTGGATCGAAGGAATGTGCACACCAAGGACACTCAACTTTGCGTTTTCCATCGGAAGGAGCTCGATACGGGCTGCTTTTCGTTTCCTCTGGAAGGCTTGGAGTTGATACCTTTTTCAATTTTGTGTCCTTACCAATGATGTCAAGATACTTTTCCACCGATAACTTTAACAATCCTTCCATGTTATAAGTTATGGTCTTGACTTTCTTACCATTATGCAATTGGGTCTCACCTTGGGATAAAACGCACCCTAAGTAAAGTCCCAAATCGGTTTCGGGTTCAATGCGCAGAACAGTGCGCAACATTTCCCAACCTTTGGCCAGATTTTCGGAGGGCCCAGCAAGCTTAAGGTCATCCACATAGATTACCAACAGCAATTTGAGCTCATCATGAAAATACATAGAAGGCCATTCCTCTCCAATGGGCTTAAAACCAATTTCTTGAACTTTCTTGTCACAATGTTGTTCCCACATCGTGCCTGAATCAGGGTGTCCATACAGGGCTTTGTCGAGTCTTACGACAGGGCGACGGAACTTCCAGTACTGTATCTCCGGAGGCCATGCATCAGTGGGTAACTCCACCCAACACAAAGGTCCCTTCAACTTAGCCTGGATGTAAGCCTGAATCGCATCTGCCAACTTGACGGAGTGCCCAGGAAGACATCCGTAAAAATCTGCCCATCGTGAGGCTTCGAAGGAAGCAGGGGAATTTCCCAAGTCCTGGAAAAATGCTGCCTCCCAATGCTGATTCTTCACCTGATTCCCTAGCAGAACGCCTCTTCCCTTGAATTTTCGACCAGGATTGTCTTCGGACAACTGGTAATTCTTTTCCACGCATATGCCATGGACCCTGGCCATATGTACTTCCTTTTTGTTCTTCTTGGCCTCTGCAACAACATCGTCATATTCACGAACCATTGTAAAGTCGAATACCTCTTGATCACGAAGGCCTTTCCACTCCTTGAGCATTGCCTCTTTGGCCTTTGGGTTAGACTCAATCTCAGCTCTGCCCACAGGTCGTGAAACCATTGCGTTGAAAAGTTTGCTTCCAAGGCCTCCTGATGGTATCTTGGTTCGGTGACTTTGATTTGATGCAGAAGTACACGGCATAGTTGGGAAAGGGATGTATTCATCATCATCAGTGGCTATGTTCTTCACGTTCTTGACGTTAACACATTTGCCATTTTTGATCATTGTCGACTCTCCTGGCGTAGCCATGGAGAACCTCGAAATCTCACCTGACAATGTGCTCCAAACTTCACCACTCCACGATGCTTTTGGGCCACGTCCTCTCTCGACCTCCGACCATTCATCCCATTCAGTGAGGTATTCCTCGTCGTCCGGGACGTCAGTAGAGGCATCGGAACATGGACTAGCATCAGCATTCCTCTTCACTTTTCGACAATCAATGTATCGTCTTCCATGTACATCGTCATCATCGACTATGTCGTACAGATCAAGATACGTACTTGTACATGTGATAGGTAAGGTAACTTTGCTAATCACAACTTCACCAACACCTGCATCGGATTTCTTTGACTTTGAATGAGAGTCATCCTTCTTACTTTCATCACCACCTTCATCGTCCTTGGACTTTGGCTCGTCCCTGTCTTTCTTTGAATCTTTCTTCTCCTTCTTCGTTGCCTTCTTCTTCTTTTCCTCGACCAATCTTTTGGCTTTGTCATCGGCCTCTTTCTTCTCCAGCTTCTTCTTCTCGGCTTTGAGGATGGTGTTCCGATCAGACTGAGAGAGTTTGCGCCATTCTTCAGGAGAATAGGTCCCTTTGGGACGCAATGACGTTTTGAACATTCGTCTACCGTCATCTCCAATCTTGTATGGGTAACCCTTGACGTTCAACTTGACCTTCTCACCATCGTCATTGAGGTATATCTTCCCATCTCCAGCTTTGCCCGACTTCCAATGGTCTGGCTGTGCGTTGATAAGCTCCTGGAGAGTCATCTCTTCTGGATCTTTGTCTTTGTCGAAGATACCCTCGGAGTCATCAAGAGGCTTCTTTGAAACTTTTCCACCACTCGGTCCAGGTCCACCGTCATCTCCGTCATCAAGCTCGTCATCGTCTTCGTCATGGTCACGTTCTTCATCATCTCCATGAGGCACTTTGGAAGGATCGCCATCGAGGATTTCTCTTTCTTTCATTCCTTCCAATGTGGTGTTCACCCTCTCATATTCTTGCTTGCATGGAAATGTCAATGGAGTGACCATCTCGACCTTCTCGGTCAAATGAGGTTTGAGAAGACGGTGTTCAGGTTTGCTAGCATCGTCACCAAGATTCTGATGTACGAATTCACTCAGAGGCCATACTTTGTATTGTCTTGACCAATGCATCCCTGGACCAATGTGATACCCTGCAAACACTCCTGGAATAGAGTCAGGTCCGAACTTATGAAGTTGTCCTGCTTCTCTGGTCTTCGGAGGCTTGTAGTTCACACGAGCACCATAGGGAATGAGTTTGCCAGCAAATTCAGATCCGTGGAGTTTGCACCAAGCGCTCAATTCATCATCGTTGGGTTCTACGTTGAGTAGATGACATACGCAAAGGATTGCCGTTCTCCAGAAACAAGGTGGTAATCCAGCTTCCAACAGACATGTAGAAGTAGCTGTGAGGATAAATTGGTTAGTCCTCTCGGCAATTGAATTGGTTTGAGGTCTCCCAGGCAACGAATGATCAATTGGGATCTTCATCTCATTCATAGCTTCAATGAATTGAGGAGCATGATCAGAGTAGGCCTGTCTGACCTTCTTTGCGCCGATGAACTGTTTCACTGCTCTGACTACATCGTCCTTGGTCATTCGATCAGATGGATAAGCACCAATGATCCCTGTAAAACAGTCTCTGACAACCAACACTTCCTTCTCGAGGATCAATACGTCATCATGGACTTTGGATGTGTCCACTGCATCAAAGGCAATGAGGTCGCCAAACTTCTTGAGTTCCCTTTTGTATGCACCACGACGAGTCTTGAAGTGCTTCATCTTTGCTCGAATGCATGAGTCGCAATATGGATTTTTGTACCTGTGGGTCAGCTTGTGATTCAAGCTATTGGCTTCTCTCTTGAGTGTTCCTCTTTTGGCTACCCTGGACTCACCCTCGACGACATCGATCTCAATGTCATCTTCATCACCTTCAGCGGCGTCTTCAGGAGCACCATGACCATCATCTTCAAAGTCAGTCTCGTCACCAGGAGGTCCGTCAAACGGAGTTCCAGGTTCATATTCGCCGTCTTCAGGTGGTTCTTCCTCTTCTCCAGGGGTTGCCGAATGTTTCTGCCGGTTCATTGCTCTCCTCTTCTTCTTCTTCTTGAGCTTCTTGACGTATCGGGAACGTTGTGGTTCTCAGTCGATGTCTCAAGACCACTTTCTCCATCGAGGTGTACTCTTCGTGATGGTTGACCAACATCATCAATATCGTTGAGATCGTTGAATCCAACTTGAGAATGTGTCAATAGGTCATGGATCTTCGATGCATGATGGCATTCATGAGGAGTGCATTCGTATGTTCCAAGATCAACATAGGGGATATTGTCGTGGATTGTCAGATCTATGCGTTCTCCATCCTTCGTAATCATGAATGGCATTTGACCAGATGGCCATACAAAGGAATATCCTTCTTCCATGCATCGTTTCCCAAGAGACATCACAGACGGAGTGTCGTCCAGTACATAAGCATGAGATGTCACATCAAAGGTTCCCAGGTCAATCTCCGCTTCTGTTTGGGTAGCAGTTGAACCGTTGGCGGTGTGGAACATGATGGGGTCACAAGTTCGTTGCTTCAAATTCATCCTCTCGGCTTTCCTTGCGGAAATCAGATCGTGTCCGCTGCCAGAATCCAGGATGAATCTTCGATCTTTGGCTTGTACTGGTAATGAAATGCACATCAAGTTCTTGGATTTCATGAGGGATTTTCCAGCTTCGTGTTCCACAAGCTCTTCAATGAAAGTCAAGTCATCACGATCATCGTCCAGCTTGATCAACATGTCGAACTTGGGGCCAATGATGATTCTAACTTCATCAACAAAACGATGGAGTCCGCATCTGTCCATGATGATTGCTTTGGCCCGTGCTCGGACTGAGCCAAGTGTGTTGTCGTACTTGGACTGATCGTCGGTCAAATCATCGACTTTCCAGAAGACATACTGCTTGTTGGGGTCACGATACATACGCTTGGGTAGTCCCTCTTGGTAGTTCTCAATTGCAATCTCGTGCACTTCAGGTTCCAGATCAAATGAGATTCTGCGAACATCAGAAGACTTCTTTGCGCTGGCTATCCTCGGTGAGGTATAATCCAAAGAATCTTCATTGTCGCTATCAAAGAAGGAGTCAATGGTAATGGGAGTTGCTTTCTTCTTTGGTGTTTTCTGGCTGGTCCTCTCCGATGATGCTGAAGGCGATTGGTCCGCATGTAGGAATTTACTCCCAAACGTGCAGGTACCCTTCTGCCAATTCCAACATACCTTCTTTTTGGGTCCAGCTGAAGATGAACTTCCTTTACTCTTTCTTGATGAATCTCGACTTCCACTTCTGCCTTTCTTACCTTTCATCTTGGCATCATAGACCTTCTGAGAATGACTGTAAAGACATTTGTCACCTTTGTTGCATCCTCCTTTATTGAAGAAGTAGTTGCAGAAAATCTTCTTCTTATCAACGGGTGAAGACGATCTTCCCTTCCCACCTTTGCCTTTCTTGTTGTTCTTGTCGGCATGAGATTTCGGAGAAGGTGTTGGAAGTACTGATGCAGCTTCACTCTTCGCCTTTCGCTTTAGGTCGTTTGGGAGGATCACCTGTAGACGATGCAGCTGCTTCATTCTCCTTCTTGGTCTTAATGGGAGCAGCAGGTTTGTCAGCATCTTCCAGGGCAGGTGTCGTCTTGTTAGAGGACAATGACAGTTTCACTGCACGTTCTCTATCTTTCAACAGTCGTTCTTGTTTTCCTCTTGCTATGTATCCTTTGATCATACCAGTTAGGTAAACATAGGTCTTCTCAGGATGCCCTTCATCAAAGGTTTTGTATCGGTTGATATCAAAGGCCATAAGCTTTGAGTGTTCAATCTTCCGGAACAATGTGTCACGCAGGGAATTGTTGGAAGGCAGATCATCATGTTTCATATTGTATACGATGTCAAGCCACTTGTTGTAGAAGGCCTCAAGCTGGTCATCTCCATAGTAGTTGAACATATACAAATGATGGGCGTTGTAGAGAACTTCAGTGTGGTCAGGTGACTTGAAGCTAATCAGTATCATTGCGAATAGTTCTCGTCCCTTGATGAAGTCCCCACTTCTCCCATACAATTGGTTCTTCATGGACATGTCATACTTCACTTGCATGGACTTGTCCCCAGCATTGTCAATGACTTTCCTCAAGGCATTGGAGAGCTTGGCATCAATGGATTGGAATCTCACATCAGGTGCTTTGGCCAGAGCCTCCAAGTCAGGTTGATCTGCAAGACACGGAGCTAGCCACGCTTTCCAATCTTCATAGTTTCGATCTCCACTTGCAACACAAACTTCATGAACAACACTTCCCTTCCAGGATGAAAGTTCAGTGGTCTTAGGCCAGGGTTGGAGGCTGATCTTTTCGGCTTCTCTTAGAGATACGGATGACTTGGATCTATCCCTCTCAAGGTTCTCCAACTCCTTGACATTGGTGTTGTACTCATTCCTGAGCTTCTCGAAGGCTTCAGCTTCTGCTCGGTATTCCTGCTCTTCATCGTTGGCGCGATCTTCAGCTTGAGAGAAATTGTTCTTGTAATAATCTTTCCGATCTTCCATCTTCTTCAACTCATCTTGTAGATTTCGAACTTCAGTGTTCCTCTCTTGCTTCATCTCGTCCAACTCTGCTTTCAATTTGGCACACTTCTCTTCACATTCATTCCGAGGCATAGCACTACTGGGGTACCCATGTAATGTAGTCGGTCTATTCAATGATGAAGAAGAATGAGCCTGGTTTTCCAACTTCAGGGCAGCGATGGTGCTTGACATCTCTTCTACCTCAGCGAAACGCTCATTAGCCAATTGATGCATCTCGGTCAAGTGGCTTTCAGGGATGGAATAGTCAGTCGCACCTTTTGATCACGAGTCTTCTGTCGTTCAACATCTTGATGGACTTACCTGCATCCCTGTGAGCACGCTCAAGAGAGTCTTTTTGGGCTTCAAGTTCGGTATGAAGGCGAGCAATGGCTGTATCCCTGTCATTGATTTCATTGTGCAAATTGTCGAACAAGTTACCCGTCACATTCGGATTGCTACTCATGTGATCGATCTTGTTCAGAGCATCTTGATACTTCTTACCAGTTTCATCGAAATGTTGCTGGAAGGTTTTGAGCAGGTTCTCAGTGTCAATGAGTTCAGTTCTGTTTTGCAAGTACAACTTGTCAACTTCAGCCTTGGATTCCTTCAAGCTGTCACGCTCACGCACGGCTTGCATATACATCTCGTATAGTGGTCCTCCATGCGGTGATCTGCTTGGTGAAGATCTTCTGGCTTGTTGACAGGAAAGTTCATGATACTGATTCTTCGATTCAGTCAGTTGTTGTTGCATTCGATCTAAAAGACTTTGTTTCATGTGTAGTTCCGAACGTAGTCCCATTATCCTCATGTCCCGCATGCCGCCTGATTCAGCTAGAGATTCTTCAGAAACCTTGTTCTCGGAAATCGCTAGTCGAGATTGTAAGTTTTCATTGTGGATCACCTGCAATCGAAGTTGCGACTCTTCCAAAGCTAAGTGATGCTCACCCATGTCAGCAGCATCGAGCTCAATTTCCAGTCGTCTAACGTTCATGGCCATGGTGTGCTTCATCGTTTGGTTCTGATTGGCAACCTCGAGCATCTCGATTTGTAAAGCACATGTTTGGTCGTTAGCGTAGCCGACCGCTAGAGCTTCTTGCTTGGCATTCATCTCTGCGTTTTCCAGTTCCAGTCTGAGTTGATTGATGTGAGCATTCACATCAGCGCCCACATGCACCATAATTGCGTTCGCTTGTCCCATTTGTTCATCAAATTCCGAACGTAGTCGTGAATATTTGAATTCCAAACGAGATGCAGCTTCATTCGACATAGCCTGATACCTCTCCAACTCTTCGATCCTGTAGGATGCACCTTCATCTTCTTGTTGTGCAGCCTGTAACTCGAAGTTCAGCATCTGGAGTTGTTCGGTCATCGACATCATCTCTTGATGAGTGGTGCTTTCCAGGAAATTAAATTGTTGATAGGCATATGCTGTCGTCTCGGTCAATCTTGCCTGAAGTACGGATTCTTCTTCAGTGGCCTTTTCCAGTGATGTCTTGTATTCAGCTAGTTCACTCTGATAAGCGGTGAAGATGTCGCTACCACTCGATGGGGCGTTCACTTGCTGATAAGATCCCGTCCCTGATGGAGTAGCGTCCTGAATCGGTGAAGGCGGATTCGACGACGTAGTCTTTGCCTTAGTCCTTGGAGTCATCGGTGGCGACAATTGTCGTGCAGATGATCTTCTCTTTCCAGGTGTGCTGTCCCTATCTTCGATTGCTTGCATTGTCGAAATTTGTCTCCCTCTAGGAGCAACCAGAGGTCGCCTGGGTAGGCTCGTTCTCAGTTCTGAGGCATCGCTTCCACCAGTGTCGATACTCTGTGAAGAATTTGACTGCGTGCCGGCAGCTGGTGCAACGGCATGTCCAGAGAAAGAAAATGCGTTATCACTGCTATCCTGTTCAGTCATCTGTAAGGCCCGCGGCTACCCGCTCGTAGGCTCCGTAGGAGTCCTACGGCTGATAACCTGTGAATCGGAGGTTATCTCCCCGATTATGTGCTGTTGTTTGATCTTGAGGTTGATGTTCTCAACAATGACGACACGGGAATTGCAGTTTCAGCATGGCGGCGTTTTCTCTTGGCACCTGCAGTGATCTTGAGCCAAAGGAGCAGATTGATGCACCCCTTGGCGGTGGACAATTAAGAGTTGAATTATATGGGAGTGTGCAGTGATCCGTAGCCTACACTCCATTCGCATAGATAGATAGATAGATAGATAGATAGATAGATAGATAGATAGATAGATAGATAGATAGATAGATTAGATAGATAGATTAGATAATTAGATAGATAGATAGATAGATAGATAGATAGAGAGATAGAGAGATAGAGAGATAGGTAGATGTAGATGTAGATGTAGATGCAGATGCAGATGTAGATGTAGATGTAGATATAGATAGATTTAAAAATATATAGACATAGATATAGACATAGATATAGACATAGATATAGACTATAATATAAACATGATGTAGACATAGATAGACATCGATAGATATAGATACGTATAGATAGAATTAGATAGATATAGATATAGATAGAGATATAGATGGAGATAGAGATAGATGGATGTGTATCTAATGCACAACATGCACCCGGTGAACATGCTTCACTGATAGATTGATCGATAGATGATAGATGAGTCATAGGAGCCAGGAGCCATAGAAGCCACAGAAGCCACAGAAGCCACCAGGAGCCACCAGCAGCCAGGACCCAAAAAAAAAATGCCCCAAAAAAAATGCCAAAAAAAAAATGCCCCAAAAAAATAGCCCTCCAGTTGGAACTGTTCCTTTTACATGGTCACGACAGTCCGCACAGCGTCCTGGCGTCAGCTGTGGAGCAGGGTGGAGGTTCCAGCCGTTGTCAAGCTCACTGACTTCTTCCTCACTTCAAACAACTCAAAGCCAACAACGGCGCTGAGAACAGCATCAGGTTCCATCATATTGCAGTTAGTTTAACAGCAAGGAGTGTTAAACAGCATCTGTTGGGGTCTTGTATCTTCATGGACATGCTGATGTCATGCTAATGTCATGCATATGTGGCGAATTATTGGACACAGGGAAGAGGGGAAAAAAAATAGAAATCGGCAGCATGAAGAATTGCGAGTGGTTGATCTATGGTTTTTGATCATTTGTCAGTGTTGATACCAAGCGCGGAAAAAAAACGACTGAACAAGTTAGGCTTCCAGAAATTGCTCGGCAAAGTCGGGCGGGAAGGCATGCTCCACCACCAAAACTCCTGCTGGTGTTGATCTGAAAAAACTGCTCGTGAGAGTCGTAGCTGTTTGACTGTTTGACTGCATCCGACTGTTCTACCAAAGCGGAGTTGCCGAGGCGCCGAGCCATGGTCAGATGGTGGAGGGAGTACTGATTTCAAGCAACTCACTTCAAACAGTCATACAATGTCACACAGCATCATACAGGAATCATACAGGAATCATCCCTGATGGAGTAGCGTCCTGAATCGGTGAAGGCGGATTCGACGACGTAGTCTTTGCCTTAGTCCTTGGAGTCATCGGTGGCGACAATTGTCGTGCAGATGATCTTCTCTTTCCAGGTGTGCTGTCCCTATCTTCGATTGCTTGCATTGTCGAAATTTGTCTCCCTCTAGGAGCAACCAGAGGTCGCCTGGGTAGGCTCGTTCTCAGTTCTGAGGCATCGCTTCCACCAGTGTCGATACTCTGTGAAGAATTTGACTGCGTGCCGGCAGCTGGTGCAACGGCATGTCCAGAGAAAGAAAATGCGTTATCACTGCTATCCTGTTCAGTCATCTGTAAGGCCCGCGGCTACCCGCTCGTAGGCTCCGTAGGAGTCCTACGGCTGATAACCTGTGAATCGGAGGTTATCTCCCCGATTATGTGCTGTTGTTTGATCTTGAGGTTGATGTTCTCAACAATGACGACACGGGAATTGCAGTTTCAGCATGGCGGCGTTTTCTCTTGGCACCTGCAGTGATCTTGAGCCAAAGGAGCAGATTGATGCACCCCTTGGCGGTGGACAATTAAGAGTTGAATTATATGGGAGTGTGCAGTGATCCGTAGCCTACACTCCATTCGCATAGATAGATAGATAGATAGATAGATAGATTAGATAATTAGATAGATAGATAGATAGATAGAGAGATAGAGAGATAGGTAGATGTAGATGTAGATGTAGATGCAGATGCAGATGCAGATGTAGATGTAGATGTAGATATAGATAGATTTAAAAATATATAGACATAGATATAGACGTAGATATAGACATAGATATAGACTATAATATAAACATGATGTAGACATAGATAGACATCGATAGATATAGATACGTATAGATAGAATTAGATAGATATAGATATAGATAGAGATATAGATGGAGATAGAGATAGATGGATGTGTATCTAATGCACAACATGCACCCGGTGAACATGCTTCACTGATAGATTGATCGATAGATGATAGATGAGTCATAGGAGCCAGGAGCCATAGAAGCCACAGAAGCCACCAGGAGCCACCAGAGCCACCAGGAGCCACCAGCAGCCAGGACCCAAAAAAAAAATGCCCCAAAAAAAATGCAAAAAAAAAAATGCCCCAAAAAAATAGCCCTCCAGTTGGAACTGTTCCTTTTACATGGTCACGACAGTCCGCACAGCGTCCTGGCGTCAGCTGTGGAGCAGGGTGGAGGTTCCAGCCGTTGTCAAGCTCACTGACTTCTTCCTCACTTCAAACAACTCAAAGCCAACAACGGCGCTGAGAACAGCATCAGGTTCCATCATATTGCAGTTAGTTTAACGGCAAGGAGTGTTAAACAGCATCTGTTGGGGTCTTGTATCTTCATGGACATGCTGATGTCATGCTAATGTCATGCATATGCGGCGAATTATTGGACACAGGGAAGAGGGGAAAAAAAATAGAAATCGGCAGCATGAAGAATTGCGAGTGGTTGATCTATGGTTTTTGATCATTTGTCAGTGTTGATACCAAGCGCGGAAAAAAAACGACTGAACAAGTTAGGCTTCCAGAAATTGCTCGGCAAAGTCGGGCGGGAAGGCATGCTCCACCACCAAAACTCCTGCTGGTGTTGATCTGAAAAAACTGCTCGTGAGAGTCGTAGCTGTTTGACTGTTTGACTGCATCCGACTGTTCTACCAAAGCGGAGTTGCCGAGGCGCCGAGCCATGGTCAGATGGTGGAGGGAGTACTGATTTCAAGCAACTCACTTCAAACAGTCATACAATGTCACACAGCATCATACAGGAATCATACAGGAATCATACCGGAATCATACAGTCCTTCTGAGAGAAGTTGTTGTATCAAAGGCCCATCATCGTCTCCAGGAGCTATTTTTAACCATCCCAAGGCTCTAGCCCACTCCTCAACTGCACCCAGGCAAGGCTGTCGGAGGGGAATGCAATGATTGTCCTTTCTATTGCACTCTTACCATGAAAATGGTCACAGCATGCTAGAGCAAGCAGTCATCTCCATTGAACTCAACCCTCGGAAAATTCAAGGGGAAAGCAGGTCAGAGTATGTCAGAGTCATGTTTTATCATTTTGTTAAAAAACGCAAATGCAAAACCTGACTCTCATATTGCCACGTATTGCCACTGCCTGCTCTAATGACTTTCTGATAGCTGCCCCAACTGGCTCTCCTCGCCATTGATGCCGCAATTTACCTGGGCACCTAGCTGCGCATCGGCAAGTGACAAGCGCGGTACCTCCACCAAGGGGCAGCCGTTGGTCTATTTGTTGATATTTGGAGAGAAAAAAAAAGTGGGAATAAGTGGGATGTTTGTGGGAGAACGCGGAGAACGCTACAATAATGTACAATAGATCAAGATCCCTTGAACACCATGACATGGCGTAGGTGCTGTAAATTCACTCAAACACCACGGTCTTCAGCGGAAATTGTCTGAGAAGTTTCCCTGTGAACCATCCTGAGATGACTCCACACTCGATGTTTGTTGTCCCTTGGCGTGATCAGCTTCCTCAAGTCATCCCACAGTGCTCCGATCCAAGGTCCCTTTGAAACACCCCCGAAATCCATTGAACAATCCGAGCCTCGTGCCATGGCTGCCATGGAGTCGTCAAGCCCTTGCCTGAGGTGTCTGGCAGCGTCTGGGGAGTCCATCTAAATCCATGGTTTGCTGGCTGACCACCTTCACCTTTCATCAAGCCCAATCAGGCATCGCAAAGCGCACCTTCCTTGCCCCTTGCATGGTCCAAAGCAGTCCTCACACTTCTCACCTCAAAGCCCAGTAAATGTTGTGTTTGTGCAGTAGGTGAAGCAGTGGAGAAGAAAGGCGTTTAACGACGTGGATGAAACGTGGATGAACAGGAGTCTTCACAGCTGCATGTCCCCCATGCATGAGACCTCGGGATCCATGGAAGGCAAAAAAAGACTCTCAGAATCTCTCAGAATGGCCTCCCGCAAAGCTCTGCGATGCGTTTGTTGCAGCATAGCGCTAGGTCTTTTCGATGGCAAGGCCTGGCAAATCAAGGGGTTCCTGACCCACCCGTTGCATGCAGCATTGATGCCTTCGTGTCGCAGGGACATACCAAAACTGGGGCTGTTGCCTCCAAGATAGTTCCAAGACCCAAGGATGTGCCGTCCTGGACATCAACACCCCAAGATTTGTAGTCACCAAATAGTTTATATAAATAATGTTGAATAGTCGTCACCAAATCGAAGGAAAATTCAAACCTCCCCTAAAATGATTAATGACATTTCTATCATGTTCATTCATTTTCTATCTGCCTGTTTTCTATTACTTTGTATTGCTTTGTGGCACCCATGCATGCTATGTCGTATATCGGTCTGTTCGTCCGTCTATGGGTCCATCATCGCATGCATCATGTATCTCGGCCCCTACCCTAGACTTGGTGGAAACATATTCTAGTGGGGATTCATCCAAAAATCATGGACAGTGAACGGCTTTCTTCAAGGTCTTCCTCTTGTTGCTGGTTGATTTCTCATATGTTTGCATTCTCTCATGCAATTTTACATAGATCTTACTTGCACTATTTCCGTCAAAAGCTTTGACACATATTGACATATAGGTTTTATTTCTCGCAAGTTTTCCCAAAGGCCGGTGGATGCCGGTGGCAACAGCTCCTTCCGCAGCCATTGCTCGCCGAAGTCCCCTTCATCGCGAAGGCGGAGCCAAAAGCACTGCTGCTCCGCGTCCCAGAAGCGTTCCTCACGAAAAAGGCCATGTGCAAAATGGGCAAGAAAAGTCAAGAAACAAACATGAAGAAACAAGGGCAGAAACAAGATACATCCAGGATCATCCAGGTGATAGATCCCAGATCCCAAAACACGACTCTTGGCCTTGCCTCATGCCCCAAATCCAACCGCCACACAGACACGCAACAGAAACCATGCTAGGAACAGATTCAAGTAGCAACACTTTGTGCAAGGACCCCTCCATGAGTCGCAAAACCTTGAGCTTCTAACGATTCTAACACTGCCATGACAACCCTGAATACATCCAACCCACAAACATTGGCCCAGCGTAATGCAGCTGCGTCACCCTAATTGCCAGCACCTCTATATTTCACAGTGGCTTGATTTAAATGATGCCAAGGTCGCTGGCTAAGCTTGGGCTATTGACAGTTATTGAGCATATTTGTCCTAGCCTGAAAGACCCATTCTGGCCAAGCCTACCGCTGTGAATTGACCTAGAGTCTGATTCCTTCAAATCCTTCAGCCTCAAAGCATCACCAGTTCAAGATGTCTCAAACCCTTTTGACCATGGCCTCGCCAACTACGTGGATTTGACCTCAAAGAGAGCAGCTTTCAACTTCGTGCTGAGAATCTATCAGAAAATAAAGGGCAAAGAGGTAGTTGAGAGAGTTGAAAAATACCCCACCATCATGACATCATGGCACATCACCAAACGATTAACACCGATTAAGTCTCCCCAAACCCAAGACTCAAACCCTTCCCCCAAACTGAACCCCTGATTTGCCTAGCAAACTAGGCATCCACACAAAGGCTATGAACATCTCTGCCTGATTCTTGGCACAGCCGCTCCAAGTTCCTGGTTTGGGGCATGTTCATGAGCTGTTCAACCCCTGGCCACCGGCGAAAGTCAGCTAATGTATCTATCCGCTCTAAAGAAACATGGCGCCAACTGGTTTAAAACATCAACATCTTTCTTGCGAAAACATTTTTTCTCATTTTTTCTTCTGTCAACCATTGCAACAGCCCCTGAAGCTACATGCGTCAAGTCAAACATCATCAAAATCAGGACACATCATAAAACACCGTGAAACATCAGAAACATCATGAAACATCATGAACCATCATCCCACAAATGTTTGTTTGTGTTGGCGGTAGCAATTTCCTGTTGGTTTTGGGTGACAGCTGAACTCCCCGGCACCTTATGTTATACCCGCTGTTGTGAGGCAGCAATGGCTCGATGGGTCTCACCATGGCATAGACCATGGGATGATGAACCACCTACCGCAGTCGCAGTGGTGAAGGCCTCTTCCTTTATTCTTTTCATACTCCTGGATGTACTATATATATAATATATGATCAATGATCATATATGATCATATATGAGTGGCGGACAAAATTATATACTGCCTACTCGCAATGGACATGGCCAAAGTGGGTGGTCCCCTATCGGTTGTGAAGGTTTCAGCACAAATTTGAACAGCCCAAGTCCAGTCCCTACTACTATTTAGTCTTCCATTAATTTTGTCGGTTACTCATATACCATATACATATATATATATATATACATAAGTATATGCATACATGCATGCTAGATAATATAGTGATGCCATGTCTTTAGTATCTTTGCCTGCCCCCCCTCACAAGTACTTGAATCCGATCCTCTTTCTCGTGTCCTGATGTGTTCCCATCTATCTCTTCGTGGTGCTGAAAAAATGCAACATCCACCAAGCCCGACACACATGCCATGGCAAATGATCGTTGCATTCACCTGCCTTCCCAGTGCAACGGAAATGTCTAGCTAACAAAAAAAGTTATCACAAACTCATCAAACAAACTATCTAAGTTTGCGAATGGTTGATGCTCTGTGTGTAATAGTGTTAGTTATATATATATATTCTATATATATATAAATACTTGTATATTGGCGCGAATCAAAAAAATCGGCTATGGATCGTTCCGCGGCGATCCGTGCTATGGATCGGGAGTGTTTACGTAAGGTGCCTGATCCGTACCCCTTCGTAGGGGCTCATCATAGCATACAAACTGTGCTGATGCTCCTACTTGCTATTACTTCTCCTCCTGCTACTGTTGCTGCTAAAACTGTTACCACTGCTAGTAGAGGGAGCAAATAAAAAAAACTGCACCAGCAGCAGTAGTGGCAATAGAAGGAGAAGATGCAGTAGCAGTAGAAATAGCAGCAGCAGTAGTACTAATACTCCTAATAATAACAAAAAGAATAATTAATAATGATAATGGTAATCTAATGGTAGTAGCAGCAGCAGCAGCTGCACTAGTACTAGGAGTAGTAGAAGTAGGAGTAGGGGTAGGGGAAGGAGTGGGAGGAGTAGGAGTAGGAATAGCAGCAGCAGCAGCAGCAGCAGTAGTAGAAGTAGAAGTAGAAGTAAAAGTAGAAGTAGCAGCAGCAGCAGAAGCAGGAATAGAATCGGACTTTCATATTGGCATTTGTTGTGGCGTGACTGGGTTCGGGTATGGAACGGGTATGGATCGGGACACGCTATCTGGGCCGGCTTTCCCGCTGTGGCTGCGAAGGAAGAGAGCGGGGTATTTCTAGTCCAGTCTAGTTCTACACGTGCCAGGCAAAGCAGCAACAGGAGTTAGAAGCACCTAAGAGGAACTAGAACCGGTCTTACTAGCCTCCAAGGTGCACTTGCAATATTGCTAGTAGCTAGTCAACTAGTTGCATTTGTCCAACTACCAGAAGCACACGGAGGAAGTGAACCAGCACCAGCAGCGGGACCAGCAGGAGCAGCAGCAGAAGCGACAGCAGTAGCAGCAGCTCCTGGGAGGAAGATGACAGCAGCAGCAGCAGCAGCAGCGCGGAGGCAGCGGAGGCAGTAGTAGCAACGGCAGTAGCAGTACGAGGACCAGAAACAGTATTCGGATAAAAAGCAGCATTAGGGCCAGCAGCAGTCTTTCTTCAACGAGAAAGGGGTATGGATCAAGGGTATGGATCATGCAGTATCATAGGGTAAGGATCAAGGTATGGACCGTGGGTATGGATCGTGTGTGGGCCCGGGGCCTTGATCCATACATTGCATTTTGACTAATTATATATATATATATGTGTGTGTGTTGTCTGTATAATTATACATCTGTGTGTGCGCATACTATCCAATCATGTGTCAGTCCTACTGGCTGTCCCACCAAATCTCCCCCCAGCCTGCCACCATCCTCCATCTGGGAGGCAATCCCAGTCGGGAGTTTCCCAGTTTGCCGACATCAAGGGGGCTCATGTGAGAACCAACAGCTAAGATGGAGGAAACCATGCCCATTGATGTCCATTGCTTATGGGAAAGCTTTTGGAAAACATGGCATCATGACAACACAAAAATCCAGGGGTGCCGTGCTCAAATGTTGCCTCTCAGATTAGCATGGGCGCACATGGATTCAATGTTTGGCAATCTCATGTAATCATGTTATCTTTGCATGTTTCGCTCCGAACCCATTGGCATCGGTATCCGTCTCACTTACAACTCTTAGATTTTCTCGCTTGATTACAATCCACAACTCCATTACCAGTAGTACCGCACAAGGCGGTGGCGGAAGTTTCAAAACAAGTAAACCTATAGGAGAGGTTGGTTGTTGTGAATTACGGATGGCAGAGCGAAGCCACTGATGGACCGAAAAGCGGTTGAGGTCTGCTCTCTTTCTCTCTCTTTCTCTCTCTTTCTCTGACTATCTACCTACCTACCTACCTACCTACCTACCTACCTATGTACCTACCTATGTACCTATCTATCGATCGATCGATCTATCGATCTGTCGATCTATCGATCTATCGATCTATCTATCGATCTATAGATCTATCGATCTATCGATCTAACGATCTATCGATCTATCTATCTATCGATTTTCTATCTATCTACCTATCTACCTATCTACCTATCTATCTATCTATCTATCTAGCTATCTTTCTATCTAGCTATCTATCTATCTATCTACTATCTATCTACCTATCTATCTATCTATCTATCTACCTATCTATCTATCTATCTATCTACCTATCTATCTATCTATCTATCTATCTATCTATCTATCTATCCTATCTATCTACCTATCTATCTATCTATCTAATCTAATCTAATCTAATCTAATCTATCTATCTATCTATCTATCTATCTATCTCTCTGTCTATCTATCTATCTATCTATTTATCTATCTATCTATCTACCTATCTATCTCTCTCTCTCTCTCTCTATCTATCTATCTATCTGTCTATCTATCTATCTATCTATCTATCTAATCTATCTCTCTCTCTCTCATCTAATTACCTATGTATCTATCTATCTATCTATCTACCTATCTATATCTATATCTATATCTATATCTATCTATCTATCTACCTATCTATCTCTCTCTCTATCTCTCTATCTATCCATTCATCTATCTATCTATCTACCTATCTATCTATCTATCTCTCTCTCTATATCTATCTATCTATCTATCTGTCTGTCTGTCTATCTATCTATCTATCTATCTGCAAGCTTGAAAAACGAAGCTAGTCTGCGAGACTTCCTCAGTTTTTGAACTTGACAACATCAAAAAAAAGCAGCAATTCAGCGAGACTTCCTCAATTTTTGAACTTGACAACATCAAAAACAAAGCAATTCAGCGAGACTTCCTCAATTTTTGCACTTGACAACATCAAAAACGAAGCAATTCAGCGAGACTTCCTTCAAAAATGGAAAGTTGAGTGCAGAGCTGACGGCCTCGTACCAATGCGTCTTGCGATTTTTCGACTCCACCTGTCTTTCGACTCCACCTGTCTAAACTACTGCGCCTGCCACGAAAAAGTGATACCGGGTCATACGAAGTGCTGCACCTGTCACGCAAAATCATCTCAGCAAACCTGAAGATCTGATGCTCCAAATGCAACCCCTCTCAGGAAATCAGCGCCCTGACCTCCTAACATCTCTCATGAACATGTCTTTTGTACTGCGCTTGCCACGGAAAATGCATCTTTGCAGATCCTCTTCATATGTCCCACGCCTGCCATCGTTTTGGAAATGCTACAAAACCCTCACGTTTTGCTCACTCTTGCCAAGGTGCACAATCCCTTGCGCCTGCCACGCGAAAGCACATCTGAACGTCCAAAAGTGCTCCGTACCCGTCAGTTTTTTTGCACTTTTGACTTGGAAATATGCTTCGCGCCACAACGGCGTGTGCTTTTTCAACAATGTGTTTTGTACATTTTGACTTCGAAATGTGCTTCGCGCCATAACTGCGTGCAATTTCTCGACATCGCAACTTCCAAAAGTGGTCCGAACCTGGTGTGCTTTGTACATTTTGACTTGGAAGCGTGCTTCGCGCCACAAGGGCGTGCACTTTTTCGACATCCAACTTCCAAAAGCGGTCCGAACCTGATGTGTTTTGTAATTACATTTTGACTTCGAAATGTGCTTCGCGCCACAACCGCGTGCAATTTTTCGACGTCGCAACTTCCAAAAGTGGTCCGAACCAGGTGTGCTTTGTACATTTTGACTTGGAAATGTGCTTCGCGCCACAACGGCGTGCAATTTTTCATCTCTCATCTGGCCAGCTGGCTCCGCACCCGCCGCTTTAGCGAGCCTACTTTTTGACCCTCCGGAGCCTCCGGGAGCCTCAAATCATTGGAAAAACAGTGTTTCGCGACTTTCCTACCTTTTCGCGCACCTGGATCTTCATTCTTCTGAGACTTTCTCTTTTTTGATCTTCTTTCTTCTTCTCTTCTCTTCTCTGACTCTTCCCTCCTCTGCTTTTCATTTGTCCATATTGTCGGAAGTTTGACTTCAAAACTTCCTTCGACAACTCTCAGACCTCACTTGCAACTCGCCACGTTCTCTCACTTCCAGCTCACGCATCTTGCACGGGTGGGGTGGGGTGTGTCAACAATGAAGTTCAAATGCGCTTGCAAACACTTGTGAATGGTCATTTCGAGAGTTACAAGCAGTGCAAAAACATGCAAAAACGATGCCGCGCCCATTGACATCGGCTTAATAAATAGCATTGGAAAGCAGGGAGACCTCTAAGATCAAGTCATTGCAGGTATCTTTTTACGCAAAATGCATTGGTGGGTGGCTGCTGGCTCAACTCATTTACACAATCAGTGGAACAACTCTGCAGCACTGGAACCTCTGGGAACTCGGTCCTGTTCAAATCTGCCAATGGTATCACTTGGTATCCCATGATTTATTTCCCTTCTGAATCCTTCAGAAGCACCAGTGCTCTTGAGGCTCCGATTCTGGCATTTTAGCTAAATCACTGTCCTGTTGAAAGCAACAGCACGGGCCAACTCACTGGGTGGCGCGGCAACTTAGAGTGACATGATGACCCGCCAAAGGCTGCACACCAATGCTCTTTCAGCACACTTTGGGATTGAAATGGATTGAAGGTGGAAGAATGAGTGAAGAATGTGGAAGAAAACTTCGCTGCACTGCACCAGGACTTCAGGCTCACTGAACTTGCCACCCCATGAGAGCTTAGTCTTTCATTGGTGGCTGCATTTGCGGATATTCTCCGGTGGCAACTCCAGTATCTATTGATGCGTCATCCAAAGTCCAGTGCAACATTGGAGCAGGGTGCTGCATCTATGGCGAGTGGCACCACGGCCATACTCTCTTTCCGAAGGGTCAAGCTATAGAAATGACATTTTTTTGGGGGAAATATACATCTTTAAACATTTTAAAAGGGATGGTTGCAACTAACACGGTCAAGATTTCTTGGGGAAAACTCCGCAGGATACAGCCGGACCCTCAAAGCTTAAATCATTGCAATGGCGAATAGTGGCCGACAATTTGGGCTTCCAATGATCAGTGAATCGTCAGTGAGTACCAAAGACAGAAAAAGAGCGTGGCACGAATTCTATGATGCTCAGCCCCACCTCTGAATCCCATCAACCCAAAACCCAATCTGCTTACTGCCATGACATGCTATACCCCGGCAACTGCAAGGAAAGTCATCGTAACAGTGATTTTAAATAATCAATAAATAGTGATGCTGATACACCCTAAGATCTGAGATTTGGGTTGCTAAACGAAACATCATCAATTCCAGATTCATTGAAGGCCCCAAGGCAGTACAAGACCGCCAGCATTCTGCATGTCTGCGTCAAGCTGCGTCAAGCTGCGTCAAGCTGCGTCAAGCTGCGTCAAGCTGTCTAGGTGTCAGACATTGTCAGCAACGCAGGGTTCACAGACTCAACCTGGCCAGATCTGACCAGCTCCAGGGGCACATGCCCTGGGCCCTGCCCAGAGTATTGGAGATTTGCTGAGAACTTGGACCATTGGATGCTACCGTGGTACCCTAAGGCGAGGATTCCCTTCGTTTTGTGAAATCAGATGAAGTGTGTAATTAAAGTTGAAATCAGTGGAATCATGGCATTGCTGATGCAGTGGAACTGCATAGGCATAGGCATGACACATGCGTACGTGGCAAACTGGGGTGACCAGCTCAAAGATGCTCAAAGGGTAAAGCAGCCCAGCAAACGAAATTTCGCGGCCACGACTGTCAGGGCAGCCCAGCAACAAGATCAAGCCAGGTTGAATGATAAAGAACCTCTTTGAACGGAAACCAAGTGACCAACAAAAGAACATAGGAGAGTCCAGCAATTGACAGTAAGAAGCGCAGCAAACAAGCACACAACCGCAAAAATCATAGACCACGAAGCATTGCGTCAACAGCTCCAGCCCCATCGTTTCTACTGCCTGAATGTGAGACCGCCAGCTGGGCGATTCACACTTGCCGAGCGACCTGCCCAGAGCTGCAACGGGTTGAACATGGCCAACTCAGTCAGTCAAATGTCAAAATTCATCAGAATGTCACATTTCTCAACCCTATTGAAAGTGACGTCGTATCCTGTCATGTATCAGTTTGCCAACTGACCTATCCCAGAGTATGTAATTTAAAAATTCATGAAAATCCATGAAAATAAAACTACCTTAGGCCTTCTGAAATCATCCATATGGATGTTCCATGAATCTTCCATGATAATTTAAGGCTTGTTCCATCTTGTTCCCCTTGCCACAATCGAAAATTAGCTGACTGCGCCGCCTTGGCCTTGAAGATCACCTGTAGGACAGCACGGCATATTGTGCATAAATATACTGTATAAATCTGTATATATATATATATCATTATATATATATGCATATGAGCGATTGTGAAAACCCTAGGTTCACGGAAAGGACATCCACAAATTTGGGAAGGTCCCATCGCTTACCACACGTTTGTACAATAATGATATATGGTAAACTTGGGGGGTATCGCTTGCAGGAAACTGCTGCATTTATATATATATATATATATGTGTGTGTGTGATGAACTATGAATAATATGTGATATTTGGGTATCGCTAATGTGGATATTAGAGAAATATGATGACATAACCTTGAAAAGGGGTATCGCTAATTTGGGAAGGTCCCATCGCTTACCTCGTGTTTTTAATAATTTCCATCAATTTCCATAAACCAATGTCCGTCGAATACATATTTAGTATTGCCGGGGTTTTTACGGTTGCTCATATGATTCTATGATTATATGATATTATATGATGTATATCGTGTCTCTATATCTATTATATAGTCTATATATTGTATTAAATAATCTTGCATATAGGAGCTTGTATTTCGGAATCATGGCAATTATAGTGCAATTCTGTGCAATTACTATGTACATATTGTGGATGGGATCCTTTGGGATCCTTGCAACTTCCGATCCTCTACCCTGCTATGTGACACTCGTAACCCACAAGTTCCTTAGCCAAGCAGAATTGCAACCAAGTGACGCCACACAGGATGGAATTCCTGTGGGTGAGATCCTTGGTCAAACGTGGTAGGTGTCTGTGATTTCATGGAAGATCATGGAAGTCTCAGATGTTGCTCCATCTGGGGGCCAGGCGGTGCCAAAGTCCTCCACTATGCTGGCACTATCTCCGTTCCAAGTCCTCAACATCTGTTCATCGGACTGCTGGAGATGGCCGCAGGGATTTCCAATGATTTCTACGATGCAAGAGATGAACTCAAAGTGTTGCACAAATGTCCAAGCCCTTCTTGTCTATTCGGCAACTCCTGAAGGCCTTCTTTCTCCATCCTTTGCCAACGAAAAGCTTCACCTTGAAACTTGACTACAAGGGATTGCTTGGAAAAGCCCAAAATGCTGCACAAGGAACATCAAGAAGCCACGAGGAATGAAGCGTAATTCTTGAAATCAAGAGCTGTGATGTGAACGGACTCACGAAACAACTGCCATCTTGCATCTGGAACTATGGGAAGTGCCTGCAAATCTTGCTCAACACCTTCGGGCCTCATTGCAACTTTGCTGGCAAAGTTTCGGGCATGTGTTCAATAATGTCACTGTAGAAGTCAGGGAGCAGCAATGTGAAGAAAGGGGGGGGTGCAAATGATGTGTACTGTTTTTTTTTCCTGGGGAAGTTTGTGGCAACTGGAAATACATGGAAATACCAAAAGCATCCAAAAGCCGGTTCCCTTAGTATCCCTTAGTAGCCTAGTAGCACAAAGAATTTTGTGTCTTCTCCACCATCTTCGACAGCTGGGCTTTCGGACGCCTGGACGGAAAGTCTGCAGCCACCGTCCAAGGTCTCAAGTCGCAGGTGGACCTCATGCCAACTTGAAACAGGTGCACAATCGGCACCCGGGCAGGATATTGGGAAGCAGTCTTGACTTTATAGGTAAGCTTGGCACCGGCCTAGTGGATGCTTGAATTTATTTGAGGATGAATAGAGAATATGGGCATGACGGCATGACATGCACTTCTGGAGAGCTGGAAACGCGGCATCGCACCTATGCACAGAATCGTCACCCAGCGTCGCTGCTTCGGACCCCAACCAAGGCTGGGACCGGCTCGCAATCCTTGATGGCAAAGCTGTCACTGTGATATTCTGCGGCCAGGGGATGGCTGAGTCCAACTAACCATGACACCTCAGGCGCCAAGACACTGCAAGGCCCAACGTCGGCACATTTAGATTCGGAGGAATGACTTGGCTGATCAAAATGCGGGTGTGCAAGCGACACGCAGCAATCGACTTCACAAGGATCTAATATCATAAAAAACTATCACAAAATATCACAAACTACAGCGCGCTGTAGCCACTTGATGCAAACTGAAGGGGTGTGACCAGGCGGGTTGCAAATATGGATCATACAGCGGAAGATAAAGAGCATAGATCAGTAATGATCAGTATGGCATGTAGCATTCTGTGGCATTTGAATGCATTTGATGCATTTGTTTCCGGGGTAAAGATAGGCACCGCGCCCGAGCGGGCGTGACGGTGAGGACGGTCTTCGTTGGCTCCTGGCGAGCTCGGAGATCCCGTCCGGGGTCAGTGCGTTTTTGAGTTCGCCGGTTTGGCACTGCCTCAGGAATTTTCTGTTCGAATAGTTGTGCGAATACATCTCAGAAAATATGTCAGACCCTCTGTCAGAGTTGATGTTGAAATATATGTTCAGAATACATGTCAGAATATTCTTGCCAAATCAAGTGTCAGAATTTATGTCAGGATATGCTCACAAAGAGCGAAAGAATAGGCACATGTGTTATCATTTGTTGCTATTTGTTGCTATTTGTTGCTATTTGTTGCTATTTGTTGCCAAATGTTGTCAAATTTGCCTTCCACCGAGGAGAAAACCATGGAAAAAAGTCTGTAAAAGTCTGGTATACTTGACCACTTGCGGCTCACATTAAAGCAATGTCTATCCTCCGGATCAGCATGCGCTTGGCTCGCGCCATCTGATTCATCACCATCATCCTGTAGCCATAGGTTGAATGGGCAAAAAAGGATGACTATGCGACTATGCATCATGCATCCAAGAGGTCCAAATGTTCAATAATTATCCAAATATTGTACCCACATATATGTACAGTATCCCAGAATTCCAAATATGTGATATAGCTGTATTCAATGCTATTCAAATAATTCCTATTTATTCTAAATATCTATAGGCCATTATCATCCATTATCTACGAACAGTTTGGCTTCACACAAAGTATTGGATCATGATTGGATCTGCAATGATTCCTACAGTATGTGTTAATACATATTATGTAATACCTATTTGAGTGAACTGTTGAACACTGTTCAGGAAAATGCTGATTTATTTGACTTCAGTCTTCACACCTCAGCATCGACATCGGCTCCATGTGGGGTGCCATCTGCATCTGTGAGTTCATCCTGGGCGTCCTGCTGCATTGAATAGCGTATGTTTGGGTAAGAACATCCCGTGTGTTCACATGAAATGCTTGGAACATCTTAGAACTTAGGAGGTTTAGACATAACAAATAGAAAGCCATTTGGCACCTAGTGGCTGGGCACACTTAAATTCTGTGTTCCTTTGGTTTGTGGTTTTTTGATGTTCTTTGTGCACCCTGCCGGTCAAGTTTCCAATCTGCGCTTCATATCGCTTCATGACATGTTCTCTGCCATAAGCTCTCCTGTGCCTGGAACTTCTCTGCAAGGAGTGGCCTCAAGCAACCAGTTGGAACAACCCACTGTGTGACTCACAAGTGAATGCACATCTCTACAGAAGCTCCACAGGCCACAGTTGTCTATTGCTGGCCGACTTTAGAGATACAATTCCGAGTGACACTAATTACTCCAGGTAGTAGCTGCTGTGCAATTTGTGACGCTTGCCCATTCCTTCCAATTGCCTGTTTGCAGGCACGAAGGATCCACTGGGCCCTTGGCACTTGCATTGTCTCGCTCCGAATGCTCGAGACCTAGGTGCATCATGCGCTTGGCACGTTTCGAGGCTGTGGCAGTTTGGGCCGCCCCACGCAGTCTGCCGTCCGTTCGGCTGGAAGGCTTTCCTGAGTGGCATGGGCTGGAGGCACAAAGGCACAGCACGGCACGCAAAGCCGAGGTTTTGCAAATCCACCCGCTGTACCTCAAAACTGGCCATGTCACTAAAATTGCCGGAAGAGTGTGCGTGGGCTTTGAAGCCATCTCTATCAGCCTCTACCCAAGGCTTGGGCAAAGGTCTTGGCACCTTCATCCACGGTGGCACGCTGTTGATCCTGGGATCACATCCAGTGGGTTGGAAGTCACCAGGTCACCACATGTCGACTGAGCTGTCTACAATGACCTTCTTGAAATCTGCAGAGCCACCTTTGGGCACGAAACCTGATGGACAGGATGGATGACAAACTCCCAGGATTGGGGAATAAAAACGCAGGTGCCAAAGTGGCACACATGGGATTCCACTTCATTCCACTTCAACCTAAGCCTATAGACCGAAACCGTGTGGATGGTGCAGTGATGTGTCGTGACTATCGACGGATTCAGCTAATTTCACGTGCTTTCACTGTGAGAAGAACAAGACAAACTATGACAAACTGCTACAGGCCGCCTGGTGGGCTCATGCTCAAGGCCGGGCTCGCAACAGCATCTGCGGTCCTGGTCGCCCAGAGGTGCGAGACACTGCCAAGGCCAGGGCCCAGGGCCGACATGCTGGAGCTTTGCCACATCCAGCACTACTGTAGCTATTTCCTATTAAGATCATTTATAAGAATATTTAAGATTTAAGATCCATTGAGGTCAGGTAATAGTAACACATTGGAATACATTGACAAAAGTCAGGAAGGAGGATCATCTAGGGTTAAACGACGAAGCCCACTGAACCCCCTCCCACGCTCTTCACAGAGGGAGTGCTTTCGAAGGTTTCACCATCTCCATCCACCGTGGCTCGGCGGCGGCTGATGGCAGCCTGGAAGTCCACACCTGGCAGGACTTGGGGACAGGGATTCATATGGATTCCTGTAAGATGTCACATGGTTGGTGCTTATTGATGATTATTGCATCTTATTGTCATATTTCCTCTTTCCAATGCACCTGAATGGTGATTGTGTAGGGCCTCCATTCTTACAGGGGGGTCAGGCTAGCTCATGTCTCTAGGATCGCTTGTGCACCATGTTTCACGTGTGGCACTCTGAGAAATCTTCACCTTCCGCTGTGTTCTCTGCCATGGGGCCTACTCCGCAATGCTTTGGCGGTGCTGCACCTGCAAAAGAACTGAACTTAACTTGTTGTAATTAAATGGTTTTGTCAAGAACCCAAGCCCAAGAATGAACCCATTGCAAACCCGCATCTGCATGCAGCTGCTATGCAAATAAACACCTCAACTCTTATAACCAAATCAACCAAGGACCTCATCTTGTGGTCTCTTCTGGCCCAACACCGAACACAAGGACATCAACGACAGAGTCAGAGCCAGATCGACTCAGGGCTGTACAGGTTTTGTACGGCGATGATGGTGTTCCCATAACGGCCTCTCGCAGCGAGGTAAACCAAACGAAATGAGGGTTCTGCAAGAAAATCAGAGGTCGATATATTTCCACAGAAAGGCTAAAAGGATTCAAAGATTTCAAGAGTACAATCCGTGACGTGAGAAGTCCCCAAAATTAACAATAAAGTTTGCTCTCAAATCAGTTGAGCCTGTCAATCAACAGGTTGTGGAAGCCACACAAGACTTGTGGAAGTGAAGCTGCCGGGAATCCGACACGTGCCAACTATGCCAGTAAACCAACGAAAGCCACACATTACAACCTGACCGCTGAAAAGGCAAGCTTTGCACTCTGGCTGGCCTTTGACAGTCCATGGCTGGCGCCCATCAAATATTGAAAAAAAACACGTGAAGAATAATTACACGTAATTACACTACTTATGAAAGGAGCGATGGAACCTGTCAAATGTCGTGCTTACGCAGCTTCTTATCCAGCAAGATAAGGAAGCTTCCTTCATCGAAAACGATGCCTCATGAGCAGCTGGCTGGCTTTCAAACTTCAGGCCACTCTCCTAGCAAATCTAGCAGCCTGCCCAGTGGTTCACCCACTTTTTCTTCCCTCAACTGGTCAAAAAGGCCCCCAAATCCTTGTTCAGCATCTTGACAAGGAAGAAAACATAAGAACACCACTCAACATATCTATACTCGTTCAAATGGCATTTGTAGCTGTGCAAAGGGTTCTCATGGGGAAGCCATTCGTCCCAAAATCCATACTTCAATATTATATCATAATATATTATAATATTATATATATATATTATATCTATGTTTCTCAAAACGTGTAAATGGGGCCATGGTGGCGTCCCTTTCTGTTGGAAAAGGAGGTAAAGCCGATGGGTGCAAGCATCATCATGCATCCCATTACATAACATGCCGTTAAACCCCTCCACATTTGCAACTGGAAATAATTTTCGTCTCCCTCTCTCTCTCTCAATTTCTGCTTGTCCGGCAGAAGTCCTCCACGTATGTACGACGCTTGGACAATTTCTGCTGCAGCTCGTTCATGATATCGAATCAATCGAAGCTTCTTAGCATACGTGGCTCATGTCAGCAAAGGCAGCTGGGGTAAACTGGGCTCTGGGGTTGATGAAACACACCCATGGTGATCAAATCGATCAACCACTGAGCTTCACACAGCAGGACCTTTGAGGAAGCCCGGCCGGAAAGGACAAGCTGTCTATTCTCCAAAGCTGCTTGAATTGAACTGTCTGACAACTTTGCAAAATGCTCAAGTCTGCTTAAGTGTGTCCAGTTGCATGATTAGTAGTCTCATTCGGGGTCATTCTCGGACAAAGGCCCTTGAACCCGCACAATTATGTTGCCTTGCATGGGAGACTGCTTCGCCAAACCAACAGCAGACTCTGAAGCCATGACAATGGAGCGGGCAACCAGCATAAAGCTATGGATATGATTTCGTCGTGTGCACCCTTCGATGGCCCATCTGTTCCCCTAATTTGGCTCCTCAAAATACTTGCCATCGTGTGGCCTGTTTCCTGCACAAGGAGTTCTGGGGCCCTTTCCAGTCAATGGGTTCTTGACCTCTTGCGACTTTTTTGGGGGTCAAATGGAGTCAGCCAATGCACATCCACTGAGGATTGAATTTTCCACGCCGATGCCACATGATGCAACAATCCTCGAACTGACAATGAAACTCACCCCTGCATCTGCAACCCTTGGGCAAATGTTTGACAGAGCAGCAATCATATCATTATTATGCAGCGCTACGCCGTTGTATCCGTTGAATTCAATGTTGATGTCTATCTTTGAGGTGAAGAATATATCTCCTAAGAGAACCTATCTAATAGAATAGTGCGTTCTTTCGCTCTCCCATTCCCTCGGATTTTGCACCGTTTTTATCCCTTTTTCTATCAAAGTCATTGCTCACTCGGTGCACACCTTGGACCAGTTCAACTCCGCCCTGGTTGGATTTGGTGTTTTCAGCCGCTTTCAGCCCATCGTTCCCCACCTGCCAGGTGAGGGTTGTTAGATTTTATGTCAGTTGCCTCCTCCTCCTCCTGCCGCCTCCTGCCTCGTCATGCCTCCTGCCTCCTCCTCGTCCTCCTTGTCATCGTTGTCGTCCTTGTCGTCCTCGTCGTCCTCGTCGTCCTCGTCGTCCTCGTCCAACTGCGACCCGCGATCCACAGTGTTCTCTGCCGGACCTCAACCACGACCATCCACGCCCAGTGTTCCCTGCGGACCTCAACCACGACCATCCTCGCCCAGTGTTCCCTGCCGGACCTCAACCACGACCATCCACGCCCAGTGTTCCCTGCCGGACCTCAACCCGAGTAGTGTTCCCTGCCGGACCTCAACCGCCGCACCCGCCAAGACCTCCCTGCCGAAGATATGTTAGAAGAATGTGGAAGATAATGTGCAGACGAATGCCAGAAGATAGCCAGAAAGAATGTCAGAAGATATGCAGAAGATATGCCCAGATAGAATGCCAGATAAGAATGCCATGCCAGATAGAATGCCAGAAGATATGTCAGATAATGCCAGAAGATATGCCAGATAGAATGCCAGATGCCAGAAGATATGCCAGAAGATATGCCAGATATGCCAGAAGATATGCCAGATAGAATGCCAAATAGAATGTCAGAAGATATGTCAGATAGAATGCCAGAAGATTTGCCAGTAAGAAAATGTATAAATGTCATGGTGGGGATCACACGAAGTAAAGTAATTTTTTTCCGGATTTTGGACAATCATTCAGATAGGGGGTTGATGGCGGGTTGCCTCACATGGCCCTTTATTTTTTCTCGGATCTCCCTGGACAGGGCTGAGATTGTGACGATGGACCCACCAGTGTGAGTAAGGCATTGCAGCTTTCCCTGGACGATTCACTTGAGGGCAGCCCAGGTCGAAACCTTCTTCCACGTACCTAGCGATGTCATCAGATTGGGTGTCACCAGGCGTGGTCTTAGGCGTGGTCTTGGCCATGAAGAAAACGAGAAAGAAACAACAATCATTGCAACAAGGAACATCATGGAACAAAACTGTACGAAAACATCAAATACACGCATCTATGCTGTACACAGCAGGCACCTGGTTCCAGGTTGGCGTCAAACTGCCGCTCATCAGAATCATAGATAGCAAACAGAGTAAAGATCAATAAGCATTGTACTTATACTAGAAAACTGCTATTAATTGTTATTAATCTTTGCATATCTTTGCCCAGTCTACTACTCCGATTCCTGCGGTTCTAAGGAGAAGCTGGAACGACCATGTGTTCGGGTGCGTGCTTTCCAGTTTTAGTTTCAAAAATATTCGATCATATTCAGACAATGTCCAACCCTCCGGTTCATCTTGTGTCAGAGGGAGAGTGAAATTCAAAGTGAAGAGAACCACCGCCCAGCATTCACCCACCCCTTGATGGTGAGGTCCAGAGATGCAACAGCATCCTCAAGGTCTTGCCTGTCACAAGTTCAACTCAGGGGTGGAGCACCGTTGACCCCAAAGCAGAATGCCCAGAAAGACCTCTCAAACTTCTTGGCTCCACGGGTCTGTTTCAACCTTCGCAAAACCTGTCGGGCGAGAGGTTATCAAAACCATGACATGCACTCGGTCTCTTCATGATCCCAGTGACCTGCTCCATTTTCCAAAGCGCTCTTGCAGGAAGGCAACGGCGCTTCGGAGTCTTGCCACTCGAACGTAGGCATCTGCCAAGATTGGCATGAAGGGACGGACCGAAGACACATTAGCAAGTTTCGGATCGTGCTGAACCATGCAACGTGTGAAATGTGCTCTGTCGACGCTTCTGATGTCTTCCGATGAGTATACTAATGAGCCGATGAGCACTTCAACTTCAACTGATTTCTTCACATTTTTCAATCTTTGTAAGTTCCAGCCGTTGATGTAGTATATCATGATCACGAAGGCAAGCTATCCCTTGCAGTTCGTTGCAATTGTAAGTAGCCACAGCCCTGAGCTACGCCAAAACATGCTCCCAATGACTTTGGATTGGAAGAAATTCCTCCGCAACCACCGCATCAAAGTCCTGGCAGTCCGGATGCAACTGGAAAATTGCAGAGCAGGAGAAGAAAAAAATGGTTAAAACATAATCAAAGTTGTTTAAAGTTCAAACATCTTTGTTTGGGAGTGGGTTCATATTTTTCCCAGTGTGGAATGATCAATCGTACTGTATTATGATACCGGTTTGTCAAAGCATCAAATTTTACAGCATATATATTTACTCATTATACAAACCTTGATTTGCTAGTCAAGTGGGGGGTATCATTCAGAAATATATAGAAAGAAACCACCAGCCTGCCAAAGGTGACATGAAGACACTATGAAAAGGCGGAGTTGAAACATGAAAGTCATCTGCATCACTTTGTTTGCTTGGGTCGCATCGTAGTTGTCAGCGCGGCACAGATCTTCTCTAATGTACGAAAGTAAAGCGACGAAATGCCAAAGCTGGAAAAAAATGCGAATGTTCGGCTGGAAAGGCATCCGGCGAAAATTCAAAAAGTCAAAACATGAAAAATCAAAAGTATTTATATATATATATATACTTTTCCATTTTTCGATTTTTCTTCTTCCCTCTCGCCTTTTTCGACTTTTCGGCTTTGCGATTTTTCTGCTTCCCTCTCGACTCTCAACGGTTTAAGTTTTGTACTTTTAGCTGCGCATGTTCAGCTGGAACGGCATCCGCCAAAAATTCAAACAATCAAAAAGTGAAAAATCGAAAAGTATGTTTTTCGACTTTTCGGTTTTTCTCCTTCCCTCTCACCTTTCGACTTTTCGGTTTTTCTTCTTCCCTCTCGACTCTCAACGGTTTAAGTTTTGTACTTTTAGCTGCGCATGTTCAGCTGGAACGGCATCCGCGAAAAATTCAAACAATCAAAAAGTGAAAAATCGAAAAGTATGTTTTTCGACTTTTCGGTTTTTCTCCTTCCCTCTCGCCTTTCGACTTTTCGACTTTTCGGTTTTTCGGTTTTTCTTCTTCCCTCTCGACTCTCAACGGTTTAAGTTTTGTACTTTTAGCTGCGCATGTTCAGCTGGAACGGCATCCGCCAAAAATTCAAACAATCAAAAAGTGAAAAATAAAAAAGTATTTTTTTCGGCTTTTCGTCTTTTTGAAATTAACAATTACCCGGTCTATTCCGGTCTAACTTTTCGACTATGAAAAATAACCCGTTCTAACTTTTCGACTTTTCGAAATTCACAAAGACACCTTTCCACTTTTCGACTTTTCGTTTTTCCATTTTTCGAGATTGATTTTGCATACTTTCCGCCTGGAGCCTTGCAGCACATCTTTCCCCAGCGAAATGCTGGACGTGGCCAGGAGAAACGTGTTCCAAACGAAACAGTGCTCATCCACTTTTGGGATCTTTTGGGAATCTTTATGAATCTTTCACGCATTTGTTCAATTCTCACTCAGATTTGACATTTCGATACATTTCGGTCGTTGTGGGATTATTGTCACTACGTGCAGCCCAGCAGCTACATGATTTTGAACTACACACCACCCGACTCTCTTGAAGCAATTGTCACCTTCAAATCAATCATATGCTTCTTGAATATAATTGACTACATATATGATTCAGCCGACCAAACTATGTAGCCATGAGACATGATAGTGACATGATGAAGACATGACTAACATCAACAATATAGAACATGCACAAAGTAAACCAAATAGTGTTTGGGAACGCAACCAACGTAATTGATCGTAATTGCAGTATATAACAAATAAAAGGATTAGTGCCCCAATGATCTGGATTTCAAAAAGCGCAGTTGCTGCCATGATTTCATTTCAAACCTTTGCGCACTTACCAGCTCCGCCCTCTCCCGTTGGTTTTCAAAATCCAACAGTACAATATGAACTTACGCAGCTGCATGCAGCTGCTGTAAGGTCTACGAGCATACTGCCCGAGCAAAATCGACCCAAACCGCCGGGCAAAGCAAGAAATCCCTGGGTCCAATTTTACTGAGTTTGCAAGGTGCTTGGCCATGCAACACCTGCCACACTCTGATTGAAGACATGCCCGAAGGTCAAAGTCTGCAGGCCGCTTGGCGGTGTCACACGTGCCAAACTCTGATTGAAGTTATGCCCAAAGGCCAAACAGTCTGCAGACCACTTGGCAACGTCACACCTGACAAACTATGATTGAAGTCATGCCCGAAGGTCAAAGTCTGCAGGCCGCTTGGCCATGGAAATTATGCCCAAAAGCCAAAGTCTGAAGGCCGCTTGGCAATGTCACGCCTGCCAAATTCTGATTGAGGTCATGCCCGAAGGTCAAAGTCTGCAGGCCGCTTGGCGGTGTCACACGTGCCAAACTCTGATTGAAGTTATGCCCAAAGGCCAAAAAGTCTGCAGACCACTTGGCAACGCCACACCTGACAAACTCTGATTGAAGGTCAAAGTCTGCAGGCCGCTTGGCCATGGAACATCTGTCAAACTCTGATTGAAATTATGCCCAAAAGCCAAAGTCTGAAGGCCACTTGGCAATGTCACGCCTGCCAAATTCTGATTGAAGTTATGCCCAAAGTCCAAAGTCTGCAAGCCCCTTGGCAATGTCACACCTGCCAAACACCGATCGAACTCCAACCCAAAGGCCAAATTCTGCAGGGTGCTTGGCCATGCAACATCTGCCAAACTCTGATTGAAGTCATGCCCGAAGGTCAAAGTCTGCAGGCCGCTTGGCGGTGTCGCACGTGCCAAACTCTGATTGAAGCTATGCCCAAAGGCTAAAGTCTGCAGACCACTTGGCAGCGTCACACCTGCCAAACTCTGATTGAAGTCATGCCCGAAGGTCAAAGTCTGCAGACCACTTGGCAACGTCACACCTGCCAAACTCTGATTGAAGTCATGCCCGAAGGTCAAAGTCTGCAGACCACTTGGCAACGTCACACCTGCCAAACTCTGATTAAAGTTATGCCCAAAAGCCAGTCTGCAGGCCGCTTGGCAATGTCACGCCTGCCGAATTCTGGTTGCCGATAAAGATTTCATTGAAGGCCGGTGAAGTAATTGTAGTTATTGTATGTAGATCTTCAGCAGTCAGACTGCGTGTTTCCTTGGTTCTTACGGCTTTCCAGAAAGTCTGCGCGGCGTCATGCGCATTGATTTCTTGAACGGCAAAACTAACTTCCCCACCCTGAACTTGTTGCAACAGCCCTCTGGAAGCATTCAGCAGTTTGCAGCCGGAAGTCAGCACTAACTTCCTGCCTGGTTTCCCCACTCTTCATTGAAAGCAAAGGTTGCACCACCAACCGGCCAGAAATGCACCGGATTCAAGCCCCCCAAAATTCCGCGCCAGGTCAGCTCGTCATCAGCAGCAAACCCGGCATCACCATACGGCTTCCCCTGAGCGGCGTGTCCGCACCGATCTTCTCTGCTACGTATTGGTAATATTGATATACACCTTCCATGCTTGCATCATCATCAACCTGGAGCTGAAACATCGATCTGTCCAAGCCCTTGATCTTCAAAGAGTTCGGTTCTCCAGATTCTTCTCCATCACGTGTCTCCGCAGCACGCTGCCTCGGGGTCTCTCATCCGGAAAAGGAAAAGTGGTCCCAAATGGACATGGACATGGACATGGACATGATCGTCATCGTCATCGTCATCGTCATCATCATCATCATCATCATAATCATCATCATACCTGGCTGCCACCATGTCAATTTTTGAAGCTGGGACGTGTACAGTAGAAAGCTTTCCGGCATCATTTAACAGCAAGCTTCAAAATCAATGGCATATCCCAAGTACACCAAAAGTCCTACGGCTAAACAAGTAAGCAATTGTCCCAAACACGTCCGAGTTTCCGTTCTAGATTAACTAATCATCCCAAGCGACACAAAGCTGGATAAAATGAAGAAAACCTAGAACCACCCACCATGAATACTCAATATAAATCTAATGCACCAAGCTGCGATTTTCATCCAAAGTCTAAGTTCAGCGTGGGATCATCCGTCAAATCACCGTCTGGCGCTCGTTTACCCTTGTCCATGGCTGCGAGATTGAAAAAATGTAAAGAAATTGTAAAGATATGTAATTAATTTTTGTTTTATGTCTTTTTCTTGTACATCGGTAGCTGAAATTTGGCAATGTACACTTTTGGGCCTGATCCATCAACACTCCCTGGTTCTGGTCCATCTGCGATTCACTGAATATTTTTTTAGCAGAAACTGACACTGTCACATCTCCTTGTCACCTCTACGACCACTGTCTTGTTTGAGATACCCAGCCCCAAAACTATGTCGTTGGGCTCATCAAGCATTTTCTGGATGGCAAATGAAGATTCAAAACTATCAATCATGATCGATCAAATCATCAATCCATATCCGCTGCTCTTGGTCCAAAAATTGAGCCAGGCCCTTTGGATTCTTTGAGCTGAAAAACGCTGCGCAAGCGGATGACAACGAAGTGGCCTCCCAGAAGTCATTAAATCTGCATAATTTAAGAAATCAAAGAATAATAAAAATCATTGAAAAGAAAACGGCACTATGTTATTTTCTTCACAAAATGCAACATCTACAACAGCTGCTTTCTTTAGCATCGGCAGCGATTTGAAGAAACCTCGCTGAGTGACTCAAGGATATGCGGCACCAAGTGACTACATGACATGAATAACGCTATAAATATCTATAAATCATAGATCGCAATCATATATTTTCATTTTTTTTCGTTGGTGATGCAGCCTGCCAAGGGAGATCGGGAGGGCCATCCTGTTCAACAGCTTTCAAGGCGCGTCTTGTGGCGGACATAACATTGGCCCAATTTGCACCTAGGTTTGTCATGGTTTGTCACTGCAACATAAAGTGATCATGAACCAATCAAGTCTGCCGCAAAATTCGCAACAAATTGGCATCCCCACGGAGCAATTGCTGGGCAGCTGCTAGGGAGGCAGGCTGCCAGCAATGTTCAGCAGCAAAAATGGCATCCTTGGCCAAGAGGTGTGAGGATACCCACAGTTGATATCCTTGAGAATATGTTGCAGTAATCTCGCTGCTTGGTGTTGACAAGAGTCGAGATAGTCAAGAGATCAAGCCATATATAAATTGGAATGCACAATCATGGACCGTCTTTTCTGAGCATGGCAACAAATAGGTGCTCAAAAAAAATCTTTAGTAGATCCCTGCAAGGGATTGCAAAGGCTTCTGAGAGGAAACCATGTGATGCCATGAGAAAGGTGTTGTGATTGGAATGGGTACTGGAACGGGTATGCCACATTTCCGCAAAAAATGAAGCCAGCTGCGCATCGGACCCTATCCTTTTTCTCCAAACCGTGTCGGCCGTCGGAACACCACAGCTCATCATCCTCGTGAACGGGCACGCCGAGTCCTGCACTGACTATGCTGACTTGATGTGTCTAGGCCTGGAAAGCCGCACAGGTTATGAAAATGATTGCTCAACGTGAGCTGTTCATCTATATGTTCTACAGCGACCTCCTCACACAGGTACTCCCATGTCCTCTACTTCTCCGCTGGCTTCTTCTTGCGAGCTGGAGGAGCACCTCCCTCACGGAAACCATTCTTGAAGCGCTTGCCGATGTGCTTCACATAACTGCAGGGAGAAGTCTGGGGTCCCTTTACCTACAGCGAAACCATACGATAGATAGATGGTGATCAGTGTGATATAGTGTGATGATGTGTGATGATATGTGATGACGCTTTGTGGATTCAATGCAGTTCATCGTGCACTCTATGGACTGCACTTGCGAAAGGCAGCGTTCCAGCAGCTGTTTCATGAGCAGCATGTAGACTCACACTGAGTTTGTCTTAACTATAGAGCAGCCAATCTTCCGGTTTCACTCTGGAACACCTCCCTCCTTTCACCTTACAGGCGATTTGGATAGACCTGGAGCAGATGAAAATTACTTAAAGTAGATCAGACATACACACACACAACACGCACACCAATCTTGAAAAAACGCTGCTTTCCTGGCTAGACAAATCATGTTGCCCCTTCTTTCCTTTTCGGTGAATTCAAGGGTCTCCAAGTTTGGGGGCGATATGTAATTGTTTAGCAAACCAGGTGAAATAATATATACATTTATATACATATAACTACATCTATAAACTAATATATATATATATACCTAGTGCTTCCAAAGTATGCCAAAAAAAAGTCACAAATGGAATAATAGGGTTTTTCCAATTTGTGACTTTTTTTCTGATTTGTTACTTTTTTTGGTTTTGGGGGATCTATGGCATACTTTGGAAGCACATCATGTCATCAATGCCCCAAGAGCCCGTTTGGGGCTCACAAGTGGCCCTCTTCCTGGAGATGATCATTCGACGCCAGGTGCCTCCCATCCACGCTGCTCCTGCCTCTTGATTTCTTCCATGTTGGATTTTCATGGATGATGCATATCTTGAAGCCATCAAACCATCTCAAATTGGAATAGTAGAGATCGATATACGCCGCTATGGCGGCTGTTCACCAAGCTTGCTCCACTGCTTTGAAGGAAACAATTGAAAAAGAAGGCTGGCACCATGTTGATGTTTCAGCAAGAACTATGTGTAGGTCACCCCCTGTTCTGTGTAGCCCATGTCTTTTTTTTGGGAGGTTTGCACAAACTCCCAGCGGCTTTTTGGAGCGACTGCGTTGAAGCTCTCTTTGGTCATGCTGCTACTAGGCGGCATCTTATCCCAGGGTACCACAGCGGTAGTTTCGAAACTTGTTTTGTTCAATTTTCTCAGGATGCCCCACCTGCTGACGAAGTGGTGAAGATCATTCTGTCCAACATAGATGTTGGTGGCATCTGCAAGATCTTGAAGGATTGGTCCACTTCCCTAAGCCTTTGAGCTAGCTTCAACAATATGTGCATCATATGTGGGCACCAATAGTATGATATACTATTTTATTTTGGTTTTTACCATGTGTATCAAATCTTTACCAATTCTGATAAATACATATAGTATATGTTTTGATGTTCCACATTGCCCAGCGCAATGCTTTGCATCACCGTCTCTCACCAGGAGGAGCACCAAGCGCCGCCTGCGGCTGCAGCTGGACAGCGTGATGGGGAGCAGGAGAGCTTTGGCCAACATTACTCAGATATATGCTGATATTATATTTATATATGATATATATATATATATTATGTTTTATTTGTATATATTATACATATATATATATATTTACATACACTTGAAACCGAATGAACGTGTGAACGCATCATTCTCCTTTGAACATGTTTAGATTCCCAGGAAACCCAACGCTTGAATGCCGAGCCCATGCTTGGAAATATCTTCCTAGATCAGCTTCTGGGGTTGCAGCAAAATGGTGAGCGAATAAATGTTTTGTCGTACCTCACCCAAAGTGAAACAAGGGCGTTGGACGCAACTTGTTTTGATGTTTGCCTATGGACAGAAATTCATGCTCGAAAGTGGCTCCAGATCCTAATGGTGGAGTCTGATGTCGAGAAAGCTGCTTGGTACCGCTTGTGGGGACATTACTATTGACTTAGCTGACTGCCTTGAAAATTGGGCAGCAGCCTGCACAGAAGTGTGTTGGGATGCAAACAGCACGTTGCTCAATTTTACTTGCTTGGTTTACTTGACATGTTGCCCCTCCCACGCAGGTGGCCATGGCTTGCCTTGAGCGCTCCTCATTGCAGAAGCCAGGTCCAGCTGCCTTGCCTGCGCGCATCTTGAGACAAAATTGAAATAGAATCAGCACAGCCTAGCCCAAGTGAACCCACTCTAGACTTTAATGGTCACGCCCAGGAAGAACACGAGGGTTCAAGCTGCAGGTCAACTTAGACTGTAGGAAACCATGTCCAGTGAAACCCTTGAAGAGACAGTGGTCTCGGTGGATGGCGTCGCCGAAGCTGATGAGTCAATGTCATGGCCCCCTAGTCATGAACTAGCTAGCGTGTGGGAGGAAAGCTCAGACGTTCGCCGGTCATTACGCCAAAATGGCAAGCTCTTGGTGTGGCCAAAGCCGCATTTGACTGGTGTTGCAACAGTGGAAGCACTCAGAGCAAACCGTGTGGCAATCAACGATGCCTTGAAAGTCTGGGCAAACCATACTCAGGGCTCTTCTATGCCAAAGTCGCCTCCAGTGGACTGGTTGAGGGAGGAGGCGTGCCAGCTTCTGGGATACAAACACATGTCGCAAGTCTATCTTTTGATTTCCCCATGTCCAATTTGAAAAAAAAATCGTTAGATCAAACACTGCCTGTGCCCATTCCTATGTTCAATGGGCCTTTCACATCCTGCTGCTCCGACAGGTCCAGCAGATCTATGTCCTGATGAATGTCGAATGCAAGATGTGCAACCTTCATCTGGATTCGTGGGGTGTGAAGCGTTTGGTGTCTTTGTGCTTAAGGAGGTTCAGAAGAGACATTGTGACGTTCAGGGACCCTGAGCTATTGTTTATGGATATTTCTTTTATACTGGCAGATATAGTCTCCGTGATATAATATATATATATACCATATATTCACCATATATATAATATAATATATGTTATTGTTGCTTAAGATGTGCAATGGCTGATCTTGCAAACAAAATTAGGTTCCAGCCGCCAATCTATAGCTGAGGACCCCAACCTGCGATCCCTCATGGACACCATGGCAGCCCATTGGTCTGCTGATCAACCTGTGCCGCCGCAGCCGGCGGACCCTGAGACTGTGAGTGAGCCAGAGGGTGATTCAACAGTTGAAAGTGGGGAAGGCCCAACAATTGAATGTGTGGATCGTTCTGGGGATGAACCTATGGGTGAGCATGTTGTGGAAGAACCAGCCGTTGAACCAGTTCATGATGTGGAGGAATTGCGTTTGCAACGTGAAGCTGTTGTGCAACTCGATTTCTCATCTCAATTCTTTTCATTTTCTCTCTAGGCTTATGGTTAAACAAGGAAATGTTTTTTTCTGTTGGGCTATTGCTGCTTTGAGGCAACGGATCCGAGCTATCCAAGCTGCTCGCAATTTGCCTCCCCCTGGCAAGCCTTGCCAGCCAGAGGCACAGCTGCCGCCTGCAGGCTGGGGTGGTGGGAAGTTCATGAACCCAAAACACACATATGACTGTATGCAACGAATTGCATGCATGGGTTTTTGGGAGGACATCTCGATGCCATGGACACGTGGCCCTTTGATGTCTATGACTCTGTCCCGCTGACCTCCATTGTGGACAACCATGATGCCAAAGATCCTAGTGATGTGGAGCCAGTTGATGAAATCTTACGCGCTCCTACTCTCAAGCTAGGAGATCCTGTAGATGAGACTGGGCCACCGGGAGCCGAGCCTGGAGAGCCAGTGGGAGTTGCTGATGTTCCCACTCCCGCCTTGGAGAATGTGGAAGACAAGCAATCTGGGGCAGCCTGTATTGATTCGGGAACCCCTGGATTCGATGCCATGAATCACCAGGCTCATGATTGGTCAATTCTGTCAGACAAAGGCCCATACTATCTACTATATATTATAATATATATATATTATATACACACTTTAACTTCCAGTATTTTCCAACACAAGTTTCAGTTTCACCTTCGTTCCGTTTCCCCTTTACAATTTTCTTTATATTTTCCTCCCTCCCTGCAGGAGCCAACTTCGAGGATCGAGCAGTTTGCTACCAAGGCCCCCCAGGATCCAGATGGTGAGGATAAGAAACCCACAAGGGGCAGGGGCAAAGGCAGGAAACCAGGCAGGCCAAAAGGTAGTGGCGCACGACCCAAAGCAACTCCCAAAGCAAAGGCAAAGGCGAAGGCAAAGGCAGCAGCATCTAAGCCCAAGGGCAAAAGCAAGACAAAGGCAGCATGTAAGTCCAAGAGCAAAGACAAGACAAAGGCAGCAGGTAAGGCGAAGTCTAAGGCGAGCCCCAGGTCCAAGGTAAAGGATTCCCAAGAGGGTGAGGAGATGTCCCCCCCAAAAACCCCACCCCAAAGGATTTCAAGAGATGCAGGAGAACACAGCGAGCCCAAGGTTGAAGCACCCCCAGGCAGGAAGAGGTCTGCACCAGCCACCAAAGGAGATGCCAAAGTTGCAAAGGTCCGAGCGGCTAAGGGGGAGGCTGCAAGTTTTGCGCGCAGAAACCCACCAACCACTACCCGCCCTTTGGCTGAGTGGACGGCCATCAAGAATGCCTTCCGCTCCAAGCTTGATGATTTCCCACATCGGTACAAAAATGAGGACTGCATTCCAATCAAAAAAATGTTCCTCAAGTTACCTGTTGAGATCCGTCTTTTTTTCAAATGACTTTCGGGACAAAAACTTGATAGGACCGATTCTGGAAGTTCTGCAAGACCAATAGCTCGTTCATGAAGGCTGAAGATGATGAAGAGCGCAATGGTTTGGCCATTGAGTTAGCTGAGGTGTTCTCCTCTCAACTCTGAAATCGGAGTGAGTTGATCAGTTCGTGTTCACACTTTTCGAACAACCTGTTTTGGGTTGCAGTGGCAGGGCTTTGCTTTTCTGAGAGCGAATGCCCCAATTTCAGGGGAATACTTGTTTGAACAAGTCCAATGTGTTGCAGGGATAACCCTTGCAGAATCTCATGTCCGAAACTTGCGATCCAGCTACCAAGAGGGGAAAAGCTGAATTTGATATTGCTTGCATA